TTCCGAATTTAGTTATATGAGTTATATTAGTTTGCCAGATCATATTAGCCCATAGGCCATGAGGATTGCCTCCAGTCATGGGACCTAAAGGAAGAAGTGGAGCACATTGAGGACATTGTTTAACTATAATTTTAGCTTGATCCTTAGTAAGGCGGGGATATAAAGCTTTTAACATTTTTGCTGGCTGATGAAGTAGTTGGTGACTGCATAAAGGAGTCACAACATTTACTTGTTTGGTTAGGTTATCTTTTTGTTGATTTAAGGAGGCTAATGGACCAGGTAATCCAGTGTGGGAGCGTATATGAGTTACAAAAAATTAGTGTTTTCTTTGGCTAATTTTAGTCCTCAGAGATAAGAATAACATCCCAATAGGTTCTCCTGGTTTATGTTGTAAAAATGCTGTTTCTAGTTTTAGGAGTGCCTGGGGAGCATATTCCGAATCTGTGTAGATATTTAAAGGTTGAGGAAAAAGCATGAAGCTTTGGAGGATAGCATAAAGTTCTGAATACTGAGCAGAAGCAGTAATAGGCATTTCCCAAGTATGAGAAACGTTTTGTTTTGTTTGAAGTTGGTATAAAATAGCTGCGGCCTTTCCTTTGTTAGTCCCATCTGTAAACAGGATGTCTGGGGAGAGGAGAGTGTGAAGTGAAGTAATAGTGGGAAAGATAAACTTACTAATTTGAAATAATTTTAAAAGTTTCCAGGATGGATAATGAATGCCAGTATCTCCAGCATAGTTTGCAAAGGCAAGTTGCCATGAAGGGGAAATCGAAGCTACATAATCAATTTCTTTCCACATAAGGGGTAAAATTATTTTATCAGGGTCTTTCCCAAAAACATGAAGAGTCCATAAACGGGCTCTCTGAATTAAAAGAATTATCATAGAATAATAAGGTGTTATTTTTTTATTAAGATAATGGGGGAAGTGAATAAATTCTAATGGACAATTAGGCTCTTGAAATATAATAGCTAATGGTTGTTCTATATTTGGAATTATAAGAATCTGAATATCTTTTTGAGGATTAACCCTATTTACTCTTATTTGATGAAGGGCTTTATTTACCAGTGTTAAGGCTTGTTTAGCATTTGTACTTAAATATCTAAGAGAGTTAGGATCTGAGTCCCCTTCTAATAGATGGAAAAGAGAACTTAATTGCATGGTAGTAAGATGAAGAGAAGGCCTACACCAGTTTAAATGTCCCATAAATTGTTGTAATTGATTTAAAGTACAAGAACCTGGCAACTCTATTTTTGGGGTGGTAGGGTATAATTGGTTATCTAAGATGACATATTCCAAATAAGTATAAGACCCATGGTTTTGGATTTTTTCTGAGGAAATATAAAGTCCATATTTTGTTAAAATAGTCATTAATTTAGTAAACATAACTTCTAAAAGTTGAATAGAAGGGTGACTAAGGAGAATATCATCCATATAATGAAAAACAAGAACAGTAGGGAATTTTTTAAGTATTGGACTAATTATTTTATGCACATAAAATTGGCGTATAGTAGGACTATTTTTCATTCCCTGAGGCAGGAATTTCCATTGATATCTCTGCGTGGGCACAGAGTGATTGTTGACAGGGATAGTGAAAGCAAAACCCTCCCTATCCTCGGGATGTAAAGGAATAGAAAAGAAACAGTCCTTTATATCAATTATTATAATAGCATGTCCTGCAGGCACAGCTGCAGGAGATGGAAGGCAAGGCTGCAGTGATCCCATCTTTTTCATAGTCGCATTAACTTTTCTTAAGTCTTGTAAAAATCTCCATTTTCCATGAGTTTTCTTTTGTATTACAAATATAGGCATGTTCCATGGACTGTTAGAGGGCTCTACGTGTTCTTTATCTAATCGTTCTTGTACAAGACCCTGTAAATGAGGCAATTTAGTATTTAAACAGGCCGTGATAGGGAATGGTAAGACTGGAGTGAAGAAATAATTCCTCTTATATGGGCTCAAGTGGCAGAGCAATGGCCTTTAGAATTGGGGGTGTTGAATAAAAGGATTATTAACAGTATAAGAATGTTCAGAGGTATAGTCAGAATTTTGGGTCCAGGCTGAGGAGATACACACCTGTAATTGTCCTAGCACATCTTTTCCCCAGAGGCTAGTGTAGTGTGGTGATAAATGGCTGAAAAGTTCCATGGACCCCATCTGAATCTTCCCACTGTAGGGGATGGAAAGACTGGAGTGAGGAAATTGTTCCTCCTACCCCCAGGAGCGGGGGGGGAGGGGGGGCTTTTTTGTGGGCCAGTGTGATGGCCAGTCCTCATGTTTAATAATTGATTGGTCAGCCTCTGTATCTAACAGACCTCTTATAGCAATTCCCTGTACTATTAGGGTCATTGTAGGCTTAAGGTCAGACATTACAGGGTGAATCCATAATGCCCAGGCGGGGTTTACTCCCACTGAGGCTGTTGACCCTCTTGGTTGTGGGGCTGAGGGCTGCCCCATCTCTCGTTTAAAGTTTTGTTATTTTTATTGAAGTAAGAACGGCAATCTCTAGCCCAATGGTAACCTTTTTGACATTTATGGCACTTATTATTTGGTTTAGGTCTCGAGCTTGAAGGTTGGAGATCAGGTATAGGCTTGTAATTTATGAGAGGGCATTGTCTTGCAAAGTGATCCAACTTTTTCACATTTAAAGCATGAATCTTTTATTTGGGCAGCACAAGCTTCTGCCAATGCAGTTGCCATCATGCTAACCTGTGCTAAAACTGTGCCTATGTTCTGGGTTGCTATTACCCAGGAAGACAAATCTTTATTTTTTTTACTGGAGCAATCGCTGCTTTACATTCTTGAGTTGAGCCATCATAAGCAAGTTGTTTTATTAAAATCTGGGCAGCTTCTATGTGAGGAACCTTAGCCTCTACTGCTGGACCCTAGCTAAGAATTTAGCCCATTGCTCCTGTGGCTTTTGTTTGAGATCAGCTAAGCTAGCTCTCGCTGTCTCACTATCCGGTGTGGATCTCCAGGCTCTCAAGGCACCGAGGCGCACCTGATCAAAATATTGAGCTGTTAAGCATGTCAACTGTCACATCAACATTAGCCTGAGCATTTCTAGCTGCCTGTTCAGTGCATTCATCATAGTATTTAGATTTAAAAAGGAGCCATTGTCCTGGGGACAAAGCAGCCTGGGCAAGGTTTTTAAAGTCCCAAGCAGTGACTGATTTATGGCTAAGCTGATCAAAGATGGCCATGGTAAAAGGGCCATGCATACCATTTTCCATCACCTCCTTGTGAATTGCTTTCAGTGTTTCAAAGCCCAAAGGACTATGAATTCTAAGTACAGGATTGTCAGCTGCTGCACGGCCAGCTCGAATGTGAACTGGAAAGAACCGAGGAAATGGATATGGCAAGGGAGTCAAATGTTCTCTAGAGAAAGTGTCTCCTGTGAGCAGATTTTGAAACATGGGAAGGAGAGATTCAGGGTCAGAAGCAGAGGGTGAAGTATAAGAAACATATGCCATGGGGAATGCTGAGGGACAAGGGGACATGGGGAGAGATCCTAAAGTGGGGCCACCTCCCCGTCTCTAATAGAATTAGAGGCGAGTGGTTGCGTTCCCAGAGGCTGTGCCACATCAGGAGGGAGCTCTGGCAGCTTCACAGCACCCAGAGGAGGTGCCTGAAGCTGAGTAGCAGCCTGAGAAGGTTCCTGCTGTTGGGCTGTTGTGGAGGGAGGACTGGCGGGGGGAGGGGGCAGAGGGGCCACAGAGGGAGGGGAGTCCTCTTCTATTTGGAGACACTGGCAAAGAGCAGACCAGAGAGGGAAATAGAAGACAGGCACAGTCTTGCCCTGCTTTTGATAATTCTGTACATTGTCTCCTACTCTTTTCCAAGATTCCAAGTCAATAGTTCCCGCAGCAGGAAACCAAGGATTACATTCTATAGTAATATCTAAAAAGGCCTTAATCTGAATTTCTGTACATTTAATTCGTCTAGACTTTAGCATGCATTTAAGAGTAGATTGGAAGTGAGACAGGTCTGGAGAGAGAGAATTACCCATATTTACAATTGCCCCTTACCTACGAACCAGCGTGACAAGGGGATCCAATCAGCCGAAGGGGGGAGAATTGCTCTGTCCACAGTGAAGCAGAGGTCCGAGAATGTCCCTGTTTCAGGCGCCAGTTGTCTGGACTCAGGTTTGCTTTGCTTAGCGGGGTACCTGCTGGCTTTGGGCAGAGGGTCTGATTGGCGACAGAGTCACAAACTCTGGGACCTGTGTCTTCCCAACAGGATGATTTATTTTAGAATTCAGATAGGTTTTATACATCCCAAGGAACTAGCAGTCACGTGGGATATGGCAATCACATACAAAGATTTAGGATACAAAGAAACAGGACATTTAGTCTATTAGTTGGCGCCAGAAGGATTCTTAAACTTTTACTCAAGGTTATCAATGCCCATCCAGTAATTTATGGGCCACAATGTTTTCTTTCTTAGTGCTAAAAGCTGTTAGGTCAGGGGTAAACCTTTAACCTGGCCTAATCTCTTAGCCAGGGATAGCTGAGTTATTTGTTTAGGACAAGGAGATGAGCTAAGGGTTGTTGACCAAGACGCTTTCCCACAGAGCAGGGAGCCTGCACTTTTATGACCAGGCTGCCCACTTCCTCCTGTCAGCCTAACAGTGTTCTGCAGGACAGGGATTATCAGAGCCACTGTTTTCAGTGCCCCTCCCTTTAGCAGAGAATGCAGCCTGGACCTGTAAGTTTTAGGCTCACGTCACCCTAGGGCCTGGCATCCTGGTTTCCTACAGTTTAGATCTCCAGCACCCACATAAAAGCCATGTGTGCTAGGGCACACCTGAAATCACAGCACTGGTAAGCTGGAAAGAGGCTGATACTGGCAACTCATGGGGGACCCTATTTTACACACACACACACACACACACACACACACGAACGCACACATACACAAAGATGGAGACGTGATTGAGGAAGATACCCAATGTCAACCTCTGGTCTGCACATACATGCTTGTGTACCCACATGTTCATGTGTATACACCCACACATACATACATACACTCACACATACATACATACACACACACACACAAAGATATTTCTGTGTAAGAGATGAATTGTTTTGAGTTACCTGTTCTCTATCCTTTCTATTACAAGTTTGCCAGTTGAGAGACTTCATTCTGAGCATATTACTCATTCCAAGACTGGGGTTGTAAGATTTCTAAAGTGAGAATGAGTCCATTGTAAGTTCTTTTGATATCAGCTTTATTAAAGTCCCTGAAATCTGTAGTTTTTACTTACACATGTGTGTTAGTGTTAGACTTCTAGAGGCTCATCCCCCAAGAAAATCCTCCCTTTTTTTTGGGGGGGGGGTCTTTTTGAGACAGGATTTCCCTGTAGCCTGAGCTGTCCTGGAATGCACTATGTAGACCAGGCTGGCCTTGAACTCAGGGAGATCCGCCTGCCTCTGCCTCCCAAGTGCTGGGATTAAAGGCGTGCGCCACCACGCCCAGCACTGACCCTCCCTTTTTTTGCCCACAGTTCCAAGACGAGTTGGGATTCTCCAATATGGAAGATGATGGCCCAGAGGAAGAGGAACGTGTTACAGAGTCTCGGCCTAACTTTAACACCCCTCAAGCCCTACGGTATGCTGGCTGAAATTTAGAATGAAGGAATAATGTATTTCTGAAGTTGTTTTAGAAATTATAATTATTTCCCATCTTCAGCTAGTTTCTTGTTGGTATTAGGATGCAGAGCCCTGGAGGTGAGTTATTTGCCAGGTTAAAAAAAAAAGTCTCCTTGTTCTGGGGCAGTACAGCTAGAGACAAAGCAGTATCTGTTTGGGAAAGGAGAAAAAACATTAGCTGGCACCTGGAGCACCTCTCCAGGTAAGTGGTGCTGGAGAGGTGTGCAGGACTTCACATGGCCAGCCACAGAAACCCCCCTTCATTGTAAGATTCTCCCCATTTGTCATAACATCTGATGGATATTTCTGATGGCGTGTTAGTCACCTACAGATTGACTGAGCAAACCATTAAACACAAGCTATAATCCCATCCCCTAGGGGCCTCAAACATGCACTAACCTTTTTGTAGAAAGTTATTTTGTCTCTTACATCATCCAGTAAGTAGACACTTTATTTATTTAGCAGAGTAAATGTAGCTTTATTAAAGAAAAGTGTAAAAGAACCCCCCTGAGAGAGGGAGGGGTCACAAGAGAAGAATCTTCAGAAAGTAGAGACTTTAAATTCCTGCTCTATTTTTGCAGTGGATTTGAACCTGCTATTTATCTACTATAATCCACTGTAACACCAAACTCGAAGTAGTAGTAGTAATTGGATGGATGACTAGATGTGTGATTTTCCTGAGTAGGTGTGAATAGGTATTTCTTCATACCAGATAGGGCGTTGTCCAAGTATAGTTTAGTAAACCAACGAGTTTATTGGGGTTATACCTTAGGATCACAAGTGGCTGAGATATCACTACCTGCATCACCAAAAAGACCACCCCAGCTGTGTGATAACTAATAAAAGTTGAATTGAAATTCTTTGTCCAGCTTTCAGGCGGATCCACAGAAGAATCTGACCTTTCTTCTGCCGTGTTCCCTGAGCCTGGAGGAAGTGATCTAGACATCCAGTTATTTTCTTCCATATGTGGCTGTGCATTAGACCAATGTGCCACAATGACAGTCTCTTCCTCTCATCAGCCTAAGTTTCTTCAGTAACTACTCCCACTTCAGACAAAAGAAGATTGCCTCCAGGCTGATAGCAGCAATGATCTGTGGGCATAAACATAGATGTTTAGAAGACAGTTTGGGTAGTCAGGTGCAGATTTTCATTGCTAAGCCTGCTGTTTTTTTGAGTTGTGACTTAAAAAGCCTAACCTTTACTTCTTTCTCTTTTTGGATACTGGCCAAAAGCCTAGTTATGCTTGTTCTGACACTCTGACTTTCTCATTGTATCTCTGCAGACCCGACACCCCACCACCACATTCAGGTGCTTGTTAATCTCCATTGCTGAACACGCTTCCTTTCTTGGACCCTAGCTTGATTGCTCTACGGTTTTACTCCCAAATACTAATAAAATGGTCCCTGAGCTTAACAACCAGCAACAACAACAACAAAACCCCAAGGGGCTGGAGTAACAGCTCATCCATGAAGAGCTCATACTGTTCTTCCAGAGAGTCTGAATTTAGTTCCCACACCCACATCTGGCCACTCCCAACAATCTGTAACTCAACCTCCAGGGGATCTGATGCTCTTTTCTGAGACCTGTAATAGGCACCTGTACTCATGCCTGTATTCATGTGCACAAACCCACACAGAAACACATATATACACATAGTTAAAAATAAGAATAAAGGGGCTGGAGAGATGGCCAGTAGTTAAGCACACTGGCTGTTCTAGCAGAGGACCCAGGTTTGGTTCTCAGCACCCACATGGTGGCTCACAACCATCTCTAACTCTAGTTCCAGTGGTTCCAACACCCTTTTCTGGCTTCTATATGCATTGCATGACACAGGTACACTTATACACACATAGGCAAAACACTCATACACATGCGTGTATTGCCTGCATGTAGGTAAGTGCACCTGTGTCGTGCAGTGCCCATGAAGGACAGAAGAGACTATCGGATCCCCTGGAACTGGAGTTACAGACAGTTGTTAGCTGCCATGTGGGTGCTGGGATTCTAACCTGGTTTTTCTGCAAGAACAACCAGTGTTCTTAACCACCTTGCCATCTCTCCAGCCCCACAAATCTTTTTTTTTAAAAGCAATTCGACAGCTCTATAACATCTATTTCACACAGCAGTAGCAATTGCCTCCCCCTCCTCCATAGCCACAGGTCTTTGTCCTGACTTACAGAACCAAATGTGAGTTCTCTCCTGTGGACTTGGTCTTCAATCCCATTGAAAAGCAGGAGCATCTTTCCTGTCATGTTTGTAGTGTATAGAACAGGCTTCATAACGATGCCAGTCTCTTGGTGACAATTTTCCACCAGCAGCCTGTATAATACCTTCAGGTGCTATAAAAGCCAGCCAGTGGGAAGTCTGCTTCTAGCTCCATCCCAGCTTGATTTCTCCATGTCCTGCAACTAAAACGTGCAGTGCCTTGGACATCAACTCACTGTCTAGTTCTGGAATGGAGCCAGCAGCAGTGGTAACCACGTTTATGGTTTATAGGGCCTTAGTGGCCTCCCTGGCTACTAGCTCATAGAGAGGACCTCTTACACTGAGATTTTCACTCAATAGCCTTAACGCTCCTAGGAGTGCCTTTCCCCACCAATACAGGGTACATTTGTTCCAACTTTTTTTTTTTTTGGTGTTTTTGAGACAGGGTCTCCCTGTAGCACCAGCTGGCCTGGAACTCCTTATGTAGACCAGGCTGGCCTCCCAACTCACAGATATCCACCTGCCTCTGCCTCCTGAGTGCTGGGACTAAAGGTGTGCACCACCACACCCGGCTTTTGTTCCAACTTTTTAGTTGCTGTTTTTACTCTTCTTCCAGATGCTTTTGGAAATCTAGAAGGATACTCAAGCATTATATACTGCTTTCTACAGAGGGTAGGAGAATTGCTGAAGGCCATCACTGTCCATTCCAAGCATATATCAATTCAGCAGCTAGGGTGGGACTACAAACAAACAATTAGTGAAGTTTAATACTGCATTAAAAGATTCCATTACTTTTATGAACTGTTTCATCAGAGGAGCAATATTAGGTATAGCAGCAGGAATGGGAGATACTATCCCATCTAGCCCTTTACAACCCAGTCATTTTCCATTACCTATTTCATCTTCTGACTGTCATACATCTCCTCACACTTGATGGTGTGGTGGGGCCTAGCTTGGAGATAACTGGGAGTAAGGTTGTGCTCTTACCTGCATTGCTCTTTGGAGCCAGCTTCTGAGGTCTGTCAGGCTTTGGGGAACTCTGCTGCCTCCCCACTCCATTGGCTGCTGAAGGGCCCTGGGTTGACCAAACAGTCTTTACTTCTAGTATGCTGTCTTTTTTTTTGGGGGGGGGGTCTTCTTTGAAACAGTAGCCCCAGCTGATCTGGAACTCACTGTGTAGACCAGGCTGGCCTTGAACTCAGAGATCTGCCTGCCTCTGCCTCCCAAGTGCTGGGATTAAAGGTGTGTGCCACCACGCCTGGCCATACTTTGACTTTTTAAGAAATGACGGAAGGGCACCCTGAATGGAAAGAGCTTAACAGTTTAAGTAGAGACCAAATGCTATACTCTTGGAAAGTTCTGTGTCATTTTAGGGAAGAAGTCATCAAGTAATGTGTGTATGATGCAAAAATGAGGAGGTCCCACTAGCCCCTGTGTTAAGCAGATATTTCTCTGCTCCTAGATTTTTACTTAATTTCTTCTTCTCTATTTGTACATTAGATAGACAACTGATTGTAGAATAAAAAGGTGGGAAATAATTCAAAATCTTTTTTTGTGGTCTTTTTCAGACAGGGTCTCCCTGTACCCCCAGCTGGCCTGGAACTGACTATGTAGACCAGGCTGATCTCGAACTTGCAGAGATCCGCCTGCCTCTGCCTCCTAAGTGCTGGGATTAAAGGCATGTGCTACCACGTCCAGCCAAAATCTTTTTAGGCATTGCTGGGGATTAAACCCAGGGCTTCCAGCATGCTAGGCATGTGCTCTACCACAAAGTTATCCCCCTGCATGAGAATTATTTTATTTGAATATATGCTAATAATCTGAAGGAGCAGTTGGCTATAGTGCAGTTTGATGTTGGATATAGTGCAGTTTGGGAATTAGTAGTAAATGGACATTTCTTCAGGCTTGGTTAACACACCACTATAAGGAATTGGATGTCTCATGTGCCTAGGGAAATGTTCAAAATTCTGTTATTTTCCTTTTGGGACTAGGTTTGAAGAACCATTGGCTAACTTGTTAAATGAACGACATCGGACAGTGAAGGAGTTACTCGAACAGCTGAAAATGAAAAAATCTTCAGTCAAACAGCAGCCTGAACTAGAAAGGCAGAACCCTCCGAAGGAGAAAGTCCATCAGACTCTGATTCTAGACCCAGCACAAAGGAACAGACTTCAACAGCAGATGCGGCAGGTACGCCTTTTTTCTGGTGTTGGAATTAGATTACCTTGTGGCTTGACACTGAAGCCAAAAGTGAGCAGCCTTATAAAGGCAGAGGTAGCTGCCTTACTTCCCACTGAAACTGTGGACCATAGGCTACTCAGTCTACAAAGACCCTGAGAGAATATTATATTCATGCACAGTGTCTCAGGCAGGAAAGCAAATAAAGAAACCTGACGATGCTTAGAAATGGAGATTTCAGGGTCTTTAGTAATCCATTCAAGTTTAATAGCCTTCAGTGCCAGTTTTTTTCCTTTCTGTTCTCAGTCTCTGGTTTGTGGTTAAACTTTGAGTGTGTCATTTTGCTGAAGGGCATATCTGAGAAATTCCTGCCAAGATCCTACTTTGTTCTAGTGGTCCTTCTAAGAAAGCAAACCTCTTGGTAAGACCTCTGTGTGTTCCTGAAATGGCAATATTATAATATGTCAATGTTTTATGTTTTTTTCCCTTTCCCAGCATGTTCAGCTCTTGACACAAATCTACCTTCTCACCACATCCAACCCCAACCTCAGTTCGGAGGCCAGTACCACAAGGATATTTCTTGTAAGGTTCCACATTTCCTTAATTCTATAGATTTCAATATGAAGTTAGCTTGGCAAGTACTTTCTCACAGTTATTCACTGATTGGAATCTACATTTATTCTTCTCTTCTGGGTGTTTTTGGTCACTATACCTGCTTGTCCTTTGGTTTCCTATGTTTGCCTGACAGAACAATGAGTCTAAGGAAATTTCCTAAGTGTTGTCCTTTATACATTAAAAAAAAATTTTTTTATTTATTATTTTTAATGTATGTATGTGAGTATTTTGCCTCCATGTATGAAAGTGAATCATGTTCATGCAGTGCCTGCAGAGGCCAGAAGAGAGTATCAGATCCCCTGGAACTGGAGTTTGGACAATTGTTAGCTGCCATATGGGTGCTGGGAATCGAACCTGGGTCCTCTGGAAGAACAGTAAGTGTTCTATGCCATCTTTCCAGCCCCAGTTTGCACATTTTAAATGCATCCTTCTTATCTTTGGATGCACCCTGACATTATTTATTTATTTTATTTATTTATTTTTTTGTCTTTTTGAGACAGGGTCTCCCTGTTCCCCCAGATAGGCTGGAGCTCACTCTGTAGACTAGGCTGACCTCCCACTCACAGAGATCTGCCTGCCTCCGCCCCCCAAGTTCTGGACTCAAAGGCATGTGCCACCACACCCAGCATATTTTTTTTTTTTTAATGAGGCAGGGTCTCATATAGCCCACTGTGGCCTCAAACTCAGTATGTATCTGAGGATGACCTTGAAGTGAAGATGATCCCCCTGCCTCTACCTCACAAGTGCTGGAGTTAGAGATGTGTAGCACCATGCCCAGTTTATGTGGTGCTGGGGTGGGCTTTGTGCTTGGTCAGCAAGCACTCTACTGAGCTACATCCCCAGCTCTCCTTTTTTTAAAGTTCTGTTTTTATAGCTGTTGAATTCATTACCAATTTATTAGGTTCAAGTTCAGTGTTTTATGTATAGAATTAATTTTGCATATGACATTTTGAAATATTTTTGAGAAAGACATAAATTTGAATCAGTTCTCCGTCCTTTCCCCTTTCCCCTCCTTCCTAGCATAGTGAATGTAGACTTCCTGAGGAAGGTAAACTGGACTTCTGTGGGACGGCTCCAAGGGAGGAGGACCCTGGAAAAAGTCTTTCTGTGGTTTAGTAATGTGTTTGCTAATATGCTAAGCTTCCTCTTTGCTTAAAAAGAGTCTGTTTAAGGACTGAAGAGTTGGCTCAGTGGTGAAGAGCCTTCCTCCTCTTACAGATCTTACAGAGGACCCAGGATCGGTTCCCAGCACCTGTATGGCTGCTTAAGGTCATTCTAAAACACATACACACATAAAGGCAAAATACCCACACATAACATAAAAATAAATAATTTTTTTTCTTTGTCTTTTTGAGACAATATCTCCCTGTAGCTCCAGCTGGCCTTTAGACCAGGCTGGCCTCAAACTCACAGAGATCTGCCTGCCTCTGCCTCCCAAGTGCTGGGATTAAAGGCATGGGCCACCATGCCCGGCTGAATCCTTTTTTTAAAATTCTGTTTATTTACTATATTCAGAAGATCATGAGAAAATTTTTATTTGATTTGTTATTCAGAAAAACTTTTATAAAACAAGAGCCAAGTATAATAGCGCCGTGTGTTCTCAGTACTTTCGAAAAGGAGGTTCATGAGTTTAAGGCCATCCTGGGCTACATAGTTCAATCCTATCTCAACACACACACACCAAAAAGAAAAAAGAAGACAGAAAATTAAATGAAATTAAAAGACACATGACAGAAGAGGAATCTAATATCCCACATAACCCTCCCTGCCAGTCCAGTGCTACTGCTGAGCCACACCCTTAGCTAATTGAGAACCATGATTCTGCCTTGGAAGCCTCACCATGTATCTACAAGATGGAGAAATGCTCAGTCTCAGAATTAAAAAAAAAGAATGTTAGTCCCCAAAAATCTGAGGACTCAGGCAGAGAAGTCTTAATGGAATAATGTCAGTTAAGAAAGATTTTTCCCTGTCTTTAAGTCTATAGCAGCAAGGACAATTTCTCATTCAGAGGCTGTGGACTCTGGTGTGTCTGGAATTGTCTTAGATTTCCTTTGTGTCTTATTTTCTCAGAAGGAGCTGGGAATCTTTGCTGAAAACTCCATGGCTGTTCACCAGCAGTTCAACCCCAGGTTTCAGACCCTATTCCAACCCTGTAACTGGATGGGAGCCATGCAGCTCATTGAAGACTTCAACACTCATGTTAGCAGTGACTGCAGTCCTCATAAAACCGTCAAGAAGACTGGTAGGAGTCAGATACGTCAATTTCAAGTTTTCATTTGCAGTGTGAGATGAGAGTCATATAATTTCCTGGTATAATTTCTTAGAAATGGAAAAGACAGGATATTTATAATGTATCCTTTCTGTCTTTTGTCCTTTGTACTCGTGTTCGGTAAGGCATAGAGGCAGGCAATGGGCAGAATAGTAATGTGGGTGATAGAGTATAAGGGACACATTGCTAAGAACTACGCTTACATGATAGATATATGGGTCAGTGCTAGGACATGGGTTTGGTAAAGTTGAATGTCAAGTTGTGGAGTTTAGTCATGTTTATATTTTTTTACTCTGATTCATTAATACCAACTCATGGGGGCTGGGATATAACTCAGTGGTAAAGTATATGCCTTGCATGTGCTAGATTCTGGATTCAGTCTCCAGTACCAAAAACAAAACAAAACAAAGATCAACTCATAGACTATGATGATAGCTCAGTGCTAGAGTGTTTGTATTTCCAAGACCCTGCATTTGATCCCCAACACCATAAAAACAAAACAGAATCTCATTTATATCCTGTAATGATTGTGGGGTAGATAGCATTCTCATTTTGAATGAAATTTCGATTTGGAAATTAGGCCCCAATTAGAAATGTTAAACATTTTCTGCATTCAATATTTAAATTTTTAAAATTATATTTATTGAGAGAGAGAGAGAGAGAGAGAGAGAGAGAGTGGCTCATGGTCCCAGGAATTCAGCTCAGGTCATGAGGCCTAGCGAAAAGTTCCTTTACCTGCTATGCATCTGACCTGCCCCTACATTCAATATTTTAAAGAAATTTACAGGTTTGACTAGATTTATAGAATCATCTTTTGTTGTTGTTATTCCCAATCTTGGGAGGAATCTTGGAGAACCTAATAGAAGGAAAATCAGATTATCAAATAAAAACTGGAATACCAGATTTGTTTTTTGTGGGTTTTTTTTGTTTTTTTTTTTAAAGATAGGGTCTGTGTAGTCCAGACTAGGCTTGAACTTGACTGCTTAGCTAATGATAACCTTGAGCATCTGATCTTTCTACCTAGTGCTGGGATCATAGGTGTGTGCCTAGTTTTATGCCATGCTGGGGGTGGAAGTGAGTTTATATATGCTAGGGAAGTGCTCTACCAACTAAACTGCATGGTACCCAACTGAAGAATACTAAAATTTTTATTGCATTTGTGTGTCGGGGCCTCTATGTGCTCCATCGTGCCGGTGCTGTTCAGAGCACAACTTGTTGGCTCTTTCCTTCTACTGTGTGGATTCCAGGGATCAAACACAGTTTGTCAGACTTGGCAGGAAGGTCCTTTATCCACTAAGCTATCTTACTGGTCCCTAGGACATCAGATTTGTGAGGGAGATTAAAAAGAAGCTGGGTGTGGTTGTGTACGCCTTTAATTCCAGCAGGCAGATCTCTGTGAGTTCAAGGCCAGCTTGCTCTACATAGCACGTTCTAGTCAAGTCCAGTCTATAGTGAGGTAAGGTCCTGTCTCCCAAAACAAAGCTGGACTTTTTTTTCCTGAAAGGAGGAAAATATTGTTGAAGACCTTATCTTCCAAAGATTTAAAGAGAAGGAAATGGAAAGCGTTTCAGCATACATTATGTGCCTGGTATTGCCAGGTGCTGTATGTTCATGTCACTTAGTGTATAAAGTTTTCCACATAGGAAAGGACAAGAGAGTCAGCTTTTATTAACACTTTTAGGTGTATTTTAGGTTGAAAATGACTAGGAACTTTGGGTGGGACAAAGAGAGGGAATCAAGTCAGAGAAGGACAGCTCTGCCTGACTGCAAAAATGGGCTCAAAACTTTGTGAAGCTCTTTGGTCCTTGAATTACATTTATCACAGATCTTTTTTCTTACAGCCAGTGAATTTCCCTGTTTGCCAAAGCAAGTAGCTTGGATCCTAGCCACAAACAAGGTTTTCATGTATCCAGAGCTCCTTCCAATATGTTCCCTGAAGGCAAATAACCCTCGGGATAAGATCATCTTTACCAAGGCTGAGGACAAGTACGTTCACTGTGGGATGGAGGGATGCATCAGCACTAGGCACTTGTGGGAATTAAGATGTGTATGTCAAAGACCTAGAAGCTGTGTGCTTGGCAACTTTCAGGGGATGCCACATGTATTTTGAAGCACTTAAAGTCACTGTTTAATCTTTTATTTATTGTAAAACCAATCTTGTAGTAGTACTAAAGGTGATTTTTCAAAGTGAAGTTTCTAATCTATTATTCCCCAACCCTAAGACAACGATCCTCTCCTTTCCTTTTTCTCTCGTTCTTTCTCTTCCTCCTCCTTCCCTCATCCTATCCTTTCCTCCCTCCCTCCCTCCTTAATTGACCTTTAATTTCCGACGCTCCTACTTTTACTTCTTGAGAGCTGAGGATTACAGCATGGGCCTTTAGGCCTGGTTTATGTGGGCATCAAATTTAGGGCACCGTTTTTGCTAGGTAAGCACTCTAATGAGTTACCTCCTCAGCCTTCTCATGGTACCTCTTAAACAGCGTCAGTAACTGAGGTAAGTTTATTTTTTTGTCTTTTTGAGACAGGGTCTCTCTGTAGCTCCAGCTGTCCTGGAACTCACTGTGTACACCAGGCTGGCCTTGAACTCACGGAGATCAGCCTGCCTCTGCCTTCTGAGTGCTGGGACTACAGGTGTGCGCCACCATGCCCAGCTTGTATTTTGTTTTTTTTTAAAACAACATTTTCAAATTTGTTTTTTGTTTTTGGGTTTGTTTGTTTGAGACACTGTCTCATGTACCCCAAGCTGGCCTTGAATTCACACCGTTTTTTAGATGACTTAAACATCAGATTGTCTTTACCTCCATATACTAAGAGCTAGGTTTATTTGGTACTTTTGTTGAGAGGGGAGAGGAGGGGATGACAGGGTATCACTGTGTACCCCAGTCTGGCCTCTAACTCATAGGAGTATATCAGCCTCTCAAATGTTGGGATTGCAAGAGTGTGTCACCATGCCTGGATAAACTTTATTTATGATGTGTAATCCCATCTTTTTGTTTATTTTATCTTTGAAACCCAGCCTCATGCATGCTAGACAAATACTCTGCCATTGGGTTATATGCCATTGGGTTAAACTAGTCTACCTTTTGCTTTTTTTTTTTTTTTTTTTGGGGTGCTGGAAATCAACCCCAAAGCTTCCATAGGGTGTTAGGCAAGCCGGGCGTGGTGGCACATGCTTTTAATCCCAGCACTCAGGAGGCAGAGGCAGGCAGACCTCTGTGAGTTCAAGGCCAGCCTGGTCTACATAGTGAGTTCCAGGACAGCTGGGGCTACAGGGAGACCCTGTCTCAAAAAGACCAAAAAAAAAAAAAAAGATGCTAGACATACAGTATAACCCTTACATATGTCAGCTGTATTACAGACCTTACTTCATAATATAGGGTCTTGCTGTAGGGCCCAGTCTTTAGCTTTTGAAGTTCAGCCTCCTAGGTGCTGGGATTACAGCTGTGCACCACCATGCCTAGCCATTAGTTTGTTTTTTTTTCTCTCTCTTCTCCTGTTTTGCTATTACAAGGCTTTATGAAGGATCTTCGAAGCTCTTTATGCAAAGAGCTTTTAAAAAACAAAAACTTTTTTTTTAAAATTTTTATCATGATGTGGTGACTCAAGCCTTTAATTTCAGCACTTGAGAGGCATAGGCAGGTGGAGCTCTGAGATTGAGGCCAGGTAGAACTACAGGGAGACCCTGTGTCAATAAACCCAAACAACAAAAACACAAAATAAAAAAAGAGTGCTAGGTATTAAACCCAGGATCTTTCCCATGTTACCACTGATGTATACACTGAGCCCTTCATGTTTGGTCCTTAAAATACCTAGTACTTAGTAAATATCTGAAACTTTCTATTGAGAAGTGGCCAATATGTATAATAATTAGATGTAGAAAATGTGAATTGTAAAAATGTAAGGAGTTTGTCTGGGAGGGCTTTTAGAAGAAAGGACTGTGAAATGAGATTGTGCCCTTCCCTCTCTCTCAGTTTGTTAGCTTTAGGACTGAAGCACTTTGAAGGGACTGAGTTTCCTAAACCTTTAATTAGCAAGTATCTTGTAACGTGTAAGACTGCTCATCAACTGACAGTGAGAATCAAGAACCTCAACTTGAACAGAGCTCCTAACAACATCATTAAAGTGAGTATTTCCTAGACGCTCCCCTGTACCTCTCAAATACCTGTCCCCAGGCTTTTTTCTTCCTACCATCAGCAAATAAACAAACCTTCAAAAGAAGGCAAATTCAAAGGCTCATTTCTCCCACTGTGCACTAGATTAATTCTGCTCATTCCTTTTCAAGGACATTGATCCATTGATTTCCTTTTTTTGATCCCCTGGGACTGGAGTCACAGACAGTTGTTAGCTGCCATGTGGGTGCTGGGATTCAAACCCAGGTCTTCTGCAAAAACAACCAGTGTTCTTAACCGCTGAGCCATCTCTCCAGCCCACATTGATTTCCTTTGTACTATTTTCAGCTTCACCTCTTACAGATATTTCTCTATATATGAAATCATTCAAGTCTTAAAAGATTTCACAGTTCTAAGCCAGGCACGGTGGTGCACGCCTTTAATGCCAGCACTCAGGAAGAAGAGGCAAAAGACTCTCTGTGAGTTGGAGGCCAGCCTGGTCTACATAGAAAGTTCCAGGCCACCTGGGGCCATAGGAAGACCCTGTTTCAAAAGGACCAAAAAAAAAAAAAAAAAAAAAAAGCACATAATTCTCCCCAAAATGTTAGCAACCAGGAAAGGGATGACACTCTGTTTCATAACAAATGCCTCAAAAATCATTTTAAGTACTTAACTCTTTTTTTTTTTTCCTTTTTTTGGTGTATTGCCTGCATGTATGTGAGTGCACCCATGTGGCGCAATGCCTCAGAGGTCAGAAGAGGGCTTTGGATTCCCCTGGAACTGCATTTAAGGACGGTTCATAGCCTCCTTGTGGGTGCTGGGAATCGAACCTGGGTCCTCTGCAAGAGCAGTCAGGCTCTTAACCACTGAGTCATCTCTCCAGCCCCAGGTTTTTTAAAAAAATATTTATCATTTTTATTTTATGTGTATGAGTGTATTGTCTAAATGTATGTGAGTGCACCCGTGTCGTGCAGTGCCGCGGAGGTCAGAAGAGGGCTTCGGATTCCCCTGGAACTGGAGTTAAAGACAGTTCGTAGCCGCCATGTGGGTGTTGGGAATCAAACCCTGGTCCTCTGCAAGAGCAGTCAGTGCTCTTAACCACTGAGCCATCTCTCCATCCCGTTTTTTTGTTTTTTGTTTTGTTTTGTTTTTTGTTTTTGTTGTTTTTTGTCTTAAGTTTTAGATTTGGTAAAGCTATGGAGGATTGTTTTTTATTATTTTGAGGATATTGGATTCTGGAGTAGTTGCTAGACTTTTTTTTTTAATATCTTCCTAGCTGGGCATGGTGGCACATGCCTTTAATCCCAGCACTCAGAAGGCAGAGGTTGGCAGATCTCTGTGAATTTGAGCCTAGTCTGGTCTACATAGTGTTCCAGGCCACCTGGGGCTACAGGGAGACCCTGTCTTATAAAGATTAAAAAAAAAGAAAAACCTTCCTGCCAGGCATTGTGGCGCACAGCTTTAATCCCAGCACTTGGGTAGGGGCAGGTGGATCTCTGTGAGTTCTAGGCCAGCCTGGTCTACATAGTGAGTTCCAAGTCAGCTGGGGTTACAAGGAGACCCTGTCTCAAAAAGACCCCAAGAAAACAAAAACAAAAAACCTTCCTTTGGCTTCAGACACTGTCCTACTCTTCTGTGTGCTGCCACCCTGACTCCTGAATGGTATCTTGGATGTTTTCTTTACCATCACCCTAAGGAATCATTTCTTTCCTTCCTCTCTCTTTTTCTCTTTTTCCCCGTCTCTCTCTTCTTTCTTCCCTCCCTCTCTTTGTTATTAGTGTGTGTATATGTGTGTGTGTGTGATATATGTGTACATGTTTATGTGTTGTGTATATGTATGTCAGTTGCAATGGAGGATTGAGGTCTTTACCAGGTGGCTTCTTCCGTTGTTACCCATCTTACTTTTTTTTTTCAAAGATTTAATTTTATTTTTATTATGTATATGAGTGTTTTGCCTGCATATATTTATATACTTATGTATAAAAATTATGTATATGTATTTATATACTTATGTATACCTGTGTGTGCAATGCCTGTGGAAGCCAGAAGACAGTGCCAGATCCCCAGGAACTGAAGCTAAAGCTGGGTGTTAGCTGCCATATAGATGCTGGAAACTGAACCTGGGTCCTCTGCAAGACACAGCAAGTACTCTTAACTACTGAGCCATCTCTCTAGACAACAAATGAGCAAACAAAACCCTAACAAAATTCATGTGTTCTAGATTCGGCAAGTTTTTGAATAACGAACCAGTGGGCCCCTCTTCATTTTGTCTACTTGCTTTTCATATAGTGTTGTATAGTCAGGTGTTGGACCTCAGACAGGTCTTACGGTTCTGTCTTTTTTTTCCCTCCATTTTGCCTATTCAATTTTTTTTTTAACTTAAAAATTTTTTTTTTTATTGTGTATTTGTGTATTGCCTGCATGTAGGTAAGTGTACCCATGTCAGACAATGCCTGAGGATGTCAGAAGAGGCTGTCAGATCCCCTGGGACTGGAGTTATGGACAGTTGTTAGCTGCCATATGGGTGCTGGGATTCGAATCCAGGTTTTCTGCAAGAACAACCAGTGTTCTTAACCACTGAGCCATCTCTCCAGCCCGTATTCAAATTTTTAAAATATTTCATTTGTTTATTTCCTGTGCCTGAGTGTATTGCCTACATATATGTAAGTGCACTCATGTTGTATCGTGCTCAGGGAGGTCAGAATTGGCCATCGGATCCCCTGGAACTGGACTTATGGATGGTTGTTAGCTGCCATGTAGGTACTGGGATTTGAACCCAGGTCTTCTGTAAGAGCAGCCAGTACTCTTAACTGCTGAGCCATCTTTCCAGCCCCGCCCCCCTTTTGACACTGCAGCTCACTGTATAGCACCAGCTGACTTTGATTTGTATAAACCAAGCTGGCCTTGATATCACAGAGATCCACCTGCCTCTGCCTCCTGAGTGTTGAGATTTAAGGTGTGTGCCACCACGCCTGGCTTATAGATTTAGTTTATGTTTTATTTATGTGTATCTGGGTGTGTGTCTGTGTGTGTACACACACATATACTCCCTGCCACATGCCCCCTTGAGGACCTGGGGCTGGAGTTACAGGTAGTTGTAAGCTATCTGATGTAGGTGCTGGAAACCCACCTGGGGTCCACTGTAAGAACAGCAAGTGTTCTTAATGGCTGAGCATCTCTCTATTCCCTTACTTCTACTTCTGATACTTCTGAATTGAATTCTTTATTTCATTGGTATTTTTCTAATCCATTAGATTTGGTTCTTTTGTGCTGAGGATGAAACAGGGCATTGCACACACATGTCATATACAAGGTCTCCCAGGGTGCTGCATTCCCAGATTACCATCTTTTTTTGAGACAGCTTCTTAGCATTTTAAGCTCCCACTGTCCTAGTACTTGCTCTGTAGCTCAGGCTGAGCTCAGACTTTCAGTTTTCCTGTTTCAATGTCCTAAGTGCTGGGATACAGGCATGTGCTACAGTATTCAGTTTAACCATCATTAAACAGTTTTATCACCATCATCACCATTTATTTTAGGTTTGTGTTTGTGCCTTCATGAGTTTATGGCATCATGTGCATTCATTTGCCTACAGAGGCCAGAAGAGGCATCAGATCCCCTGGAACTGGAGTTATGGATGGTTTTTAGATGCTATGTATGTGCTGGGAGCCAAAACCAGGTCCTCTGCCTCTTAACCACTGAGCCATATCTCTCTAACCCCACATTGGACATTTTAAAATATCAAATGGCAGAGGGCATGTGGGAGGAGTCGACAAGGATAATAGCTGAAATTTTCTTACCAGAATTAATACACCTTCCCTCAACCATACCTCGGTCCTGAGAGCTAACTTGCTGCCAAGGTAGGGCATGCAGCTGTCAGCTGGCTACATCAAACAGTTGAGGTTCTTTGGAAGTCTAACTGCCACTGCAACATCTTTTGTCCTGTGATCTGACCTTTTTTTGCCACTGCAACATCTTTTGTCCTGTGATCTGACCTTTTTTTTTTTTTTTTTTTTTTGAGACAGGCTCTCCTTGTACCCCTGGCTGGCCTCAAACTCAAAGATGCACCTGCCTCTGCCTCCCTAGTGCTGGGGTTAAAGGTATGCACTACCACATCGGGCTAATCTAACCCAATTTTAATTCCACTTTTACCTTGACTTCTAGACTTATAGGGTGTCTTATTCTTTTGCCATTTCCCCTCCCCAGTGCTGGGACTTCACCCCATTACAGGGGTGCCCCACCATGCTTGGTCTATATTCTCTTTTCTGCTTTTTTTCCCCTAATATATTTAACTTCTTTTCTTTTCTTTATTCTTTCCTGGTGTATGAGTGATTGCCTGCATTTGTGTAAGTGCACCCGTGCTGTGCAGTGCTTGCAGAGGTCAGAAGAGGAAGTCGGATCCCCTGGAACTGGAGTTACAACTATTAGCTGCCATGTGGATGCTGGGACTCGAACCTGGGTCCTCTGTACGAGCAGCCAGTGCTTTTAACCTCTGAGCCATCTCTCCAGCCTAACACCATTATTTTCTTAAAAGTAGCTTCTGTGTGAAGTGCACCTGTGCTGTGCAATGCTTTCAGAGGTCAGAAGATGGAGTCGGATCCCCTGGAACTAGAGTTAAAATTATTAGCTGCCATGTGGATGCTGGGAATCGATCTTGGTTCCTCTGTATGAGCAGCCAGTGCTCTTCACTTCTGAGCCATTTCTTCAGCCTAACACCATTATTTTCTTAAAAGTAGCTTCTGTGTGTTTACAATGAGGGTTAAGGTTCTGTCCTTGGAGCTGCTATGCAGAAGTATTTGAGGTATAGGTCTGAGTGTGGGCCTTTGTACATGAGTGCAGTACTTACAGAGATCAGAAGAGGGTGTTGGATCCCCTAGAGCTAGAGTTATAGGCAGTTGTGAGCTGCCTGTGTGCATGCTGGGAACTGAACCCAGGTCCTCTTGCAACTGCTGGACAATCTCTCCAGCCCCTATAAAATTTTTATTAAGGATATTTCATTTGAAATGCAGAAACATCCAGCATATGCTATTGATGTGTGTGCATGTCTCAAACCATCAGCCACTCCATTCCCCAGTCTGACAGAGGGTGATATTTCTGGATGGAACCCAGGTCCTCTCATATGTGCTCTTAACTGCTGGATAATCTCTGCATCCCTTATAAAATTTTTATTAGAGATACTTCATTTGAAATGCAGAAACATCCAGCATATACTATTGATGTGTGTGTATATCTCAAACCATCAGCCATTCCATTCCCCAGTCTGACAGAGGATGATATTTCTGGATGGAATATAATTTATACTTTATTTTTTCATGTTCAGTTTTATAAGAAGACTAAGCAATTACCGGTCCTATTAAGGTGCTGTGAAGAGATCCAGCCACATCAGTGGAAGCCACCTGTAGAGAGGGAAGAACACCGGCTGCCGTTCTGGTTAAAGGTAGAGCCTTCCTTGTCAAAGTCTTTAGGAGGCACTAAAAATTCTTATAGAAATGCTAAGGGCTACTTGAAGTTCAAATTACCTGAGTTAGAATACTAGGGCCTAAGAAACCTTCATTAGCCCTTCCTTCTTTTCTGTCCTTACTCCAATGATTCTACAACTTTCTCAAAATAATGAGCAAAATGATAATTTCCTCAAAGAAATTCAGGAAAGAGTTTATGGACTATATAATTGAAATGTGGCCTTCCTAGAAATTTGAGATGCAAAAAAACCCTTCTTGGAACCATTTCTTGAGACTATCTTGCAACAATGCTTAAAAATCTAGAAAGCTCTGTTCTTTCCCAGATTCTGACATGTACTTGATAAGAGTGTTCTCCTTCCCACTAGGCCAGTCTACAGTCCATCCAGGATGAACTGCGGAGCATAGCTGACAGTGCTAGAGAGGGAGCAAATGTGACTGCAGCTACTGAGACCGGCACTGATCAGCACTCGGAGAAAGCCAACCCAGAACTGGGGAGTCAAACTCAGTACCCACTACTGTTGCCCAAGGGTGTAGTACTAAAATTGAAGCCAAGTTCTAAGCGTTTCTCCAGGAAGGCTTGGCGACAGAAACGACCATCGGTTCAGAAGCCTCTGCTTATCCAACCCAGCCCCTCTCTGCAACCTATTGGGAAAATACCAACCTGGACAACGCAACCAGAAGTCCCCCAAAGCAACATGGTGGTCCAGATTCCTCATCTTATACAGCCAACCACTGTCTTACAGACAGTTCCGGGTTTCCCTCCAGTGGGGGTCAGCAGGGAAGACAGTTTTGAGTCTCCTGCAGTGCGGCCTGCTATGTCCTCTGGTTCTGAAGCCAGGACCAGCTTCCCTTTGTCTGAGTTGCAGTCCCCACTGCCTTCTGCCTCTGTACCCAAGTTAATGCTGCCCTCACTTGGTCCTTCTAAATTTCGAAAGCCGTATGTGAGGCGGAAACCCTCAAGAAGAAAAGGGGCCAAGGTCTCTCCCTGTATGAAACCTGCTCCCATCCTCCACCCCACACCGGTTATCTTCACTGTTCCTGCCACCACTGTGAAGGTTGTGAGCCTGGGCAGTGGCTGTAACATGATCCAGCCTGTCACTGCAACTGTGGCCCCAAATCCCCAAACCATTCCTATCACCACTCTCCTGGTTAATCCTACTTCTTTTCCCTGTCCATTAAACCAACCCCTTGTGGCCTCCTCCATCTCCCCCTTAATTGTTTCTGGCAGTCCTCTGACTCTTCCTGTGCCATCCACCCCTGAAGATAAGGCCCAAGTGAACATGGATATTTCTGAAGGGAAAAACGCCTCTCAGAACTCTGAATCCAAATTAAGAGGCCAGGAGATAACTCCTACCTTTGCCGGTATCTTCCCCAAAGAGGAGCATAACCCCCCTGGTCCTCCAGCAGTTACAGAAAGCCAGGAAGGACTGTCAAAGAGTGCCTGTGGCTGGACCATTGTGAAAACAGAAAGCCAGGAAGGACTGTCAGAGAGGAGCACCTGTGACTGGGCACGTGTGAAAACAGAAGAAGGTAGGCAAGCTCTAGAGCCGCTGCCTCAGGGCTTCCAGGAATCTATAAACACTGACCCTAGGAATTTAGAGGAAATCGTCAAGATGGAGCCTGAGGACTGTGTGGAGGAGGTCTCCAGTAGCTTCCCTGAGCAGAACGTTTGTGATGCCATAAAAGAAGAACATGCTATGGAAGTAAACAGTGGCCCCCTACAGGAGAGGCTGAGCAGTGCTAGAGAGGTGGAGAAACAGACAGCTGTGCGGAAGGAGAGCCAGCTAGCTGAGTCCCCAGCAGCTTCCCGGGAACCTCCTGATGAGGGAAGTACAAGTGGAGATGTGAGCAAAGGACTGCCTAAAAGCACTCCACCCTCCATGGATCTGGACGTGGTGCTCAGCAGCCCCCCAGGGAAGCCTGAGGACTCAGCCAGTGCTGATGGTCAGTCCATGGGGACCCCAGCAGGGCCAGAAACTGGAGGAGAGAAGGATGGGCCCGAGGAAGAAGAGGAGGAGGACTTTGATGACCTTACCCAAGATGAGGAAGATGAAATGTCATCAGCTTCTGAGGAGTCTGTGCTTTCTGTCCCTGAACTCCAGGTAGGAATCAGTGTTTTGGGGACTCAACAGTATGTTTGTTTATGTGTTATCTGCTTGCTTTGTCTGCTTATAGACAGTCATAAAATTATCTTGACAGTCATAAAATTATATATATATATATATTTTTTTTTTTATGTGTATGCATGTATTGCCTGCATGTAGGTAAGTGCCCCCATGTTGTGCAATGCCCATGAGAACAGAAAAGGCTGTTGGATCCCCTGGAACTGGAGTTATGGACAGTTGTTAGCTGCCTTGTGGGTGCTGGGATTCGAACTTGGGTCTTCTGCAAGAACAGCCAGTGTTCTTAACCACTGAGCCACCTCTCCAGCCCGACGTTTTTTTTTTTGAAACAGGGTTTTACTATGTAGCCCTGGCTGACTTGGAACTGGCTAAATAGATGAGGCTAGCCTTGAACCCACAGAAATCTGTCTGCCTCTGCCTCCCAAGTACTGGGTTTAAAGATGTATGCCACCACACCCAACTATATTTGACTTCTGAATACATTGTGGGATATGGACACAATTTTAGGGTTTAGATGAAGTGATATGGAAAGGAGAAATTCTGCTCAAGTCTGTCTCAAAAAGACCAAAAATAAAAAGTAAATAAATAAAATTAAAATACTAAAATTTTAAAGGCATATATATAACTCATAATTGGCAAGATACCTGTTGCCAAGCCTAACTACTTATGTTCAATCCTGGGGATCCATGTAGTGGAAGGAGAGAACTGACTCCCACAGGTTGTCTTCTGATCTCCACATGTATGCCATAGCATACACCCACCCCTAAATATGCACACAGATATTAATAAATAAACGCAATATACGTAATTTTAAAAACTCAAAAGGGCTAGAGGAATAGCGCAGTAGTTGAGCATGTGCCTAGCATGTGCCAGCACTGTAGGAAAGAAAGGAAAAAGAAGCAGCTCATAATTAGAGGCCATGGCAAATGGAAAGCTGTCTTTTTTTTTTTTCGGTCTTTTTGAGACAGGGGCTCCCTGTAGCCCCAGCTGTCCTTGAACTCACTATGTAGACCAGGCTGGCCTTGAACTCACTGAGATCCGCCTGCCTCTGCCTCCCAAGTGCTGGGAGGGATTAAAGGTGTGCGCCACCATGCCTGGCCAGAAAGCTGTCTTTAAGCCAGCTTTTCAAAGGCATCCTCTCCCTTTGCCTGCCTGGGCTCTGTCCTTGGTACCCTTAGGCTTTTGTGATTCAGAGTGCTGAGCCCTGTTGTTTCCTGATACATTTCTGTTCTGCAGCATTTTGTGAGCTACTAGGAGCCCTTACAAACACTTTTTGGGGGTGTTTTCAGGAAACAATGGAGAAACTGACTTGGCTGGCATCCGAGAGGCGCATGAGTCAGGAGGGTGAGTCTGAGGAAGAGAATTCTCAGGAGGAGAACTCTGAGCCAGAAGAAGAGGAGGAAGAGGAGACAGAAGGGATGGAGAACCTGCAGAAACAGGATGAAGTGAATGATGAGGCAGTTGGGGGTGCTGTGGAGAAGCCTCCTTCCACCCTGGCCTCACCCCAGACTGCTCCAGAGGTAGAGCCCAGCATCACACTGCCAGGTAAGGGTAGCAAGCCCGTGCTAAGAGCACTTTGTTTAGTTGCGTTGTCCAGAGGACAGTGCAGAATGCAGCTTTGCCCTGGTAGATGTTTAAGGTGCTACCCTTGCCAAAAAGAAAGGCTCAGAAGATTAATTTGACTCTTGGTAACTACTTGATTTGTGCTAATTTGGTCTGTGTTTTATTAGTTGTTCTTGCTTAATCCTTCATGTTTGAGGCTAAGAACTTTGTTTATTTCAAAAGATACTGCTCATTCTGCATCAAGACATAGTGCCTTGAGAAGCCCAACTTAAGACCAAACTCATTCTTTTTTTTTTTTTTTTTTTTTTTTTTCTTTCGAGGTACCCTAGTCCATGTTTGCCTGGAATTTGCTATGTAGACCAGGCTGGCCTTGAGTTTGTGGCAGTCCTCCTGCCTCTGCCTCCTTAGTGCTGAGATTATAGGTATACAGTCTGGCTTCTATGCTTACTCTTTAAACTTCCTGTTTTCTTCGTTGTTGGGTTTTTGGGGGGCATTTTTTGGCCTTTTTGAGACAGGGTCCCCCTGTAGCTCCAGCTGTCCTGGAACTCACTATGTAGACCAGGCTGGCCTTGAACTCACAGAGATCCGCCTGCCTTTGCCTCCTGAGTGCTGGGAATAATGGCATGCGCCACCATGGCCGGCTGTTGTTGTTTTTTTAAAAATTATTTATTTTTATTAAACATTTTACTTCATTAATTTTTTTTTTTTTCGTCTTTTTGAGACAAGGTCTCCCTATAGCCCCAGATGTCCTAGAACTCACTGTGTAGACCAGGCTTGCCTTGAACTCACAGAGATCTGCCTGCCTCTGCCTCCCAAGTGCTGGGATTAAAGGCGTGTGCCACCACGCCTGGCAAATTATTATTTATTTTTATTAAACATTTTACTTCATTAATTAATTAATTTTTTTTTTGTCTTTTTGAGACAGGGTCTCCCTGTAGCCCCAGCTGTCCTGGAACTCACTATGTAGACCAGGCTGGCCTTGAACTCAAAGAGATCCGCCTGCCTCTGCCTCCCGAGTGCTGAATTAATTTATTTTTATTTTATGTGTATGAGTGTTTTTCCTGCCATGTATGTAAGTACAGCATGTATGTGCAGAGATCAGAAGAGGGTATTGGATCCCCTAGGACTGGAGTTAAGGATGGTTGTTAGCTACCATGTGGATGCTGGGAAGCAAACCCAGGTCCTCTGCAAGAGCAACCAGTGCTCCTAGCCACTGAGCCATCTTTGCAGCTCCTGTTAATGTTTTTTTGAGACAAGGTCTCACTCTGTAGCCCTTCCAGTCTTTTTGCCCAGTGCCCTCCTCCCCAATCATAGGCATGCACTTGCACGGCCTGCTAAAGCAGTCTAAAGACTCCTTTCTTCAGATGAAGATGCTGTTTGTCTCCTGGCCTCCCCTTTGTGCGGCACTCTGTGTAGAGCTGACCTGCTGGAGGCAGACTTGTCTTATGTATGACTTCCCTAGCCACTCTTCCTGAGTTGTGCTGTGATATTAACTGGGATTGGATGGGCTGGCACTCGTGGTGGATGGCATGGTTTGCAGAGATTTAGAAAGAATCTTTTTCACATACACTCCAAGGACAAAGCATGAAAGCTGCTGGAAAGGGCCGGAGCAATCATCGAACTCGCAACAAGCGGGGAAGTCGAGCCCGGGCCAGCAAGGACACCTCTAAGCTGCTGTTGCTGTATGATGAGGACATCCTCAATCGGGATCCACTCCGAGAACAGAAGGACCTGGCCTTTGCACAGGCTTACCTAACTCGGGTAGGCCATGTAGCTGCTGTTACTGCCAGTCTCTGTGCATGTGATTGCTGCTGCTTTGGAGGGAGATGCTTTAAAAATGAAGTCTGTGCTGTTCATGGTGGTGCACACCTTTAATCCCAGCCCTCAGGAAACAGAGGCGGGTGGCTCTCTGTGAGATTGAGGCCAGCCTGGTCTACATGGTGAGCTCTAGGCAGGCTGGGATTAGGGAGACCCTGTCAAAATAAACAACAGCAACAACAAACAACTCTGAAGTAGAGTGCTTGTCTGGCAGGTATAAGGCTGGGTCCATCCCCAGAACAAACAAAGCTAAGTTTTTTAGTTTAGGTGCACAACCTGTCTGTTTCTACTTTAGCTTGCTGGGAGTTGACAAAAGAGTTCTGTGAGAGACCCACAGGAACATTCATAGTTCAGTCATATATGGGTTGTTTTTTAGCACCCCAGCTTCATGTCATCACCCTTTTGTCCTGAGATTAGGGGAAAGGTGATACTACTGTCACCTGTGGAGGGTTGTAACTTCTGTCTGGGCTGATCAGGACCTTTAATGAATGAATGACAGTTTGTCTGCAGGCTGGAGAGCTGATATCAAGGAAGTTCCTTGGTCTTCAGATATGAGCCAGCTGGTGGCACCCTGGGGTAGCTCCCCCTCTGTTAATAGCCCAGCAAAGTGATGTACTTGGAGGATAGTTGTGGCTTTTTCTAAATGTTTTTACTAATATTTTACTAACATTCTGAATTTATGTATTATGTACCTTTTTTTTTTTTTAATTTTAATTTTTTGGTCTTTTTGAGACAGGGTCTCCCTGTAGCCCCAGCTGTCCTGTAACTCACTATGTAGACCAGGCTGGCCTTGAACTCACAAAGATCTGCCTGCCTCTGCCTCCCAAGTGCTGGGATTAAAGGCGTGAGCCATCACGCCCAGCTGTGTTATGTACCTTTGTATGACATGTGTCATATACAGAATCTGTATAGAAAACATTCCTTATCTATTTCAGTGTGGAGCTGAAGTTATAAAGGAGACCTTAGGTTGTGAAAAGCATTTCCTGGTTTTGTGGCAGTAGTTTATAAAAAATAGAGGTTATCCAGTCCCCATCCCACCCCCCCAAGAGAGTTCTTTTGTTAACCTTCAGGGGAGTGCCTCTGAAGGATAATTCTTAAAGTTCTGTTACCGGGACCCCCTCCTTTCCCATGTCCTTGTTTGTTTTAGAGGGCCAAAGAAACACTGATAATCAGAAGTCTTCCCATGTAGGTACGAGAAGCCCTACAGCATATCCCTGGCAAGTATGAAGATTTCCTTCAGATAATCTATGAATTTGAGTCAAGTTCCCAGAGGCAGACTGCTGTAGATCTCTACAGAAGCTTGCAAATTCTACTCCGAGACTGGCCTCAGCTCTTGAAGGACTTTGCTGCTTTCCTGCTACCCGAGCAAGCCCTGGCCTGTGGATTAGTAAGTAGATGGGCACACCAATCTCCTAGTCAGAGTAAGACTGGGGATAGAATCAAACAAGACTGTTCAGTCTTCTGATTACTTCAGATAGGTCAAATTCATCCCCCAGCCTCCATTGCCCAGAGTGATAAGAGCTTCTGTCTTTTCAGGTCATATCCTTCCCAGTCCAATTCTTCCATTTGGTTTACAAGACAAATGCCGAGGTTTTAACTTGAGTTATCAGTGGAAGCCATAGTTAAGTCTTGTGCTGCTGCTCCTCACTGGTGTAAAACACCTTCTTTTAATAAGTATTTGTTGAGTGCTAGACAAAACTTTAGATACCAGGAATGTGACAGTTTAAAAAGACTCTCAGAACTTTCATGCTTGTGATTAGTCTGTAAAATACATAGATTATAAAAATAGTCAAATATATAGTATATAATGTTTTATGGTGCTAATTCTTTACGGAAAATTGTATCAGCAAAAGAGACTAGAGAGTTGTAAATAGAGGAGATGGGTGTTTCTATGCATGTTGTAATCCGAGCGCTCAGGAAGCTGAAGCAGGAGGATTGTTGCTGCTTTATGGCTGGTAATAGGATACATAGTGTGTTCGGGCTTAGCCTGGGATACATAGTGAGTCCCTGTCTCAAGAGGGAATGGTATGTGAAGTTTGATGTACTGTGGTCTGGGAAAGCCGTGTGTAACAAGGTCATTTGTGAATGTTGAAGACCTAAGAGCTGAAATAGAAGAGAATGGCATGTTGGGCATGAGGACTTATGATCCCTGCACTCCGTATGCAGAGGCAGGAAGACTGACACGAGTTTGAGGTCAGCTTGGGCTACATAGAAAGTTTTAGGTTAGCCTGGACTACAGAGTGAGACCCTTGTCTCAAAAAAACCAAACCAAGCCAGATGTGGTCATGCAGACCTTTAATGCCAGCACTCGGGAGGCAGAGGCAAGGAGGTCTCTGAGTTTGAGGCCAATCTGGTCTACATATGGAGTTCCAGGCCCTGGGTCTATAGGGAGGTAAGGTCCAAAAAAAATAAATAAAAATAAACAAAAACAACAAAACAAAGATCTGGAGAGATAGCTCAGCAGTTATGGGCTCTTGCAGAGGACCTGAGTTTGGGACACACACATAGAAGCTAATAACCACCTATATTTCTTTTGTTTGTATGTTTGTTTTGAGACAAGGCTCACTTTGAACTCTTGTTTCCTCTTGCCGCAGCCTCCTGCTCTTATGAGATATATAATCTTTCATTCACATCTTAATTTCTTGGGTTGGTAGTTCCCAGGGTCCCACAGTAAACGGAAGTTAGGGTTTTAAATAGAATCCTGTCCCATCAATGCCTCTGGCCCATTGTTCTTAGTTCTCAGCACCCTTAAGGTCAGCTCGAGCTATGTAATCACTCTTCCCTTGCACTCCTTCTACTCTGGTAGTTTGAGGAGCAGCAGGCTTTTGAGAAGAGTCGCAAGTTCCTTCGGCAGTTGGAGATTTGCTTTGCAGAGAACCCCTCACACCACCAGAAGATTATCAAGGTCCTCCAAGGCTGTGCAGACTGCCTTCCTCAGGAGATCACTGAGGTAGTATTTCCCATTCTGCTTCCTTTTTATTGCCAATTCCCTTCTCTCTCTGCCTAATGTAGTCCATATCCTTTGCCTCTGGAGTACTAAAGATTCTGAAGATGAAGAAAGCAAGAGTGTTTTAGACTTACCTAAAGTATGAAGCACAGGGGTATAGAGGAATGGGTACCAAAATTTGGAGCCTAAGGGACACTCACAAGCTCTGCATTGCCATCAGTGGTGACGAGACCTGGAAGGGGCTGGCCTCATTTTGCTGTTGCAGGGGACCCAGTCAGGCAGGGATGGATAGTACAATCACTGGGAACCACATCTATGACTAGAACTCGTCCCCTGTAGGCAAGGAAGCAGGGAGAAGCTTGAGGATTCTTAGCTTCATGGGTCGGCGAGATGGTTCAGGGAGTAAAGTTGCTTTCTTCTGAGCCTGATCACCCAAGTTCTACCTCTGGGACCCACATGAAGGAGAGAACAAATTCCAGAAAGTTGTCCTCTGACTTCCACAGGCATACCATGACGTGTATCTATGTGTGAATGAACTCACATATACACACATATGTAAATAAACATAATAGACTGGTAAGATGGCTCAAGGGGTAAAGGCACTTGACTGCCAAGCCTGAGGACCTGAGTTTGAGCCCTTATACGCACATTGTGGAGAGCTGTCGCCTGGAAATTGTTCTCTGGCCTACAGGTATGCCTTGGCATGTGTGCACACAGACACACACAAAATTAACAGATAAATAATAAAAAATAAAATCCTTTTAAAAAAAGATAGGCCCCATGTAGAAGGCAGAATGTGGTTGTGTGTGGGATTGGTTTGAAGTGCCATCTAGGAAGATTCTTGGGATAGTCCCTTCACCTCCACAATTCTCATTTGTTAGCTGAAGACACAGATGTGGCAGCTCCTCAAGGGCCATGACCACCTCCAGGGTGAGTTCTCCATCTTTTTTGATCATTTGCGCCCAGCAGCTAGCCGGATGGGTGACTTTGAAGAGATCAATTGGACTGAAGAGAAGGAGTATGAGGTATGGGTTCTGAGGTGGTGAAGGGGAAGGATGCCTGTGGGAGGAATAGCATCCCAGATCTGTGCTCAGTACCACTAACTCCTCCCCAGTTTGATGGCTTTGAAGAAGTGATACTCCCTGATGTTGAAGAGGAAGAAGAACCTGCAAAGATTGCCACAGCCCCAAAGAGCAAAAAGAGAAAGGAGATTGGGGTCCAGAATCATGATAAGGTATTCAGGTTTTTGGGAAGTATCTGTTCTTAAATGAATCAAGCTTTGAATTTCTCTCTGCATGTTTCCCTGGCTTACTATAGTCCAGAGTCTCAATATCACAGGTGTTTATGGGGCACAAACCAAAGGTGAAGTTAATGTGCAGAGCCCATGAGAAATGCAGCAGTTGCGAGGAGGACCCAAAAGTAGAAGGGTTTCTAGTCAGGCATGGTGCCTAATGCTTGTAATCCCAGCACTTCAAGGCTGAAGCAAAGAGAGTGCTATAAGTTCAAGGCTAACCTGGGTTACATAGTAAAACCGTCGTTCAAAAAAGGAAGAAACAAAAAGGGTTTTCTCCCTAGCTCAGAGCTGCTTTTTTTCTACCTTTGGGTTTTAACCTTTTAATTTTTGTTCACAGGAAGAAATGGAATTCTTTTTTAAAAAAAAATTTATTTATTTATTTATTTATTTATTTATATTTTTGTCTTTTTGAAGCAGGGTCTCCCTTGTAGCCCCAGCTGTCCTGGAACTCACTATGTAGACCAGGCTGGCCTTTTACTCACAGAGATCCTCCTGCCTCTGCCTCCCGAGTCCTGGGAGTACAGGCGTGTGCCACCATGCCTGGCTTTATTGTATTTATTTTTATTTTATGTGTATGCATGTACTGCCTGAAAGTAAGTAAGTATGCCCATGTCCTGCAGTGCCCGAGGAGGACAGAAGAGGATGTCAGATCCCCTGGGACTGAAGTTACGGACAGTTGTTAGCTGTCATGTGGTTGCTGGGATTCAAACCTGGGCAAGAACAGCCAGTGTTCTTAACCGTTGAGCCATCTCTCCAGCCCCAACTTGGAAGTCTTTTACATGAATAAATCATTTAATTTTCACAGTAATCCTGTGGGGGAAGAGTTTCATTTCCATAACTGAAGTTCAGAGAGTCACTGATGTCAGGGTCACCCTTTACCAAGTGGCAGTACTAGGACCCTTGACACTTGATTGTGTTCTAACTCTAGCTTATACTTGGTGCTCTTCAAGTAGTCTGCTGACCTACACATACATACACGCACACACAGACACAGGCACATGTGCACATACACAAATAATAAATAAATAAATAAATAAATAAAT